CACACACACACACACACACACACACACACACACACACACACACACACACTGCCTATGAGCACAGAGGCATAGCCTACATGTACCCAGTGTGGATGCTGATAAAGTGTGCACTATGTTTAATGTAAATACACAGTTCTTATGTATTTTTTTTCCTTTTAATGTTGCAATTGATCTACTTCTGCACACTTTCTGCTGTTTTATTTATTTAAATATCAAGGTATTTAGCTTAGTCAGTAATACACTTTCTGCTACTGTTAACTTTAGCCTTTTGTTGCTTTCAGCAAGCCTTAGGAAAGTTTAGCTTCTAGCTCGTTTCTGTTTCTTTTAGTTAGCATTTTGCTGCTTTGCACTTTTATCTATAGCCTTTTGTTTCATTTAACTTCTAGTTTTGGTACTTTTATTTACTACTTTGCTTCTTTTAGCCTTAGCTTTCCTTTTGCTGCTTTTATCCAGCCTTGGTTGTTTTTAGTTTCTAGCTGATATTTTGCTTCTTTTAGCTAGAATTTTGCTACTTTGTGCCTTAATAAGCCTTTTATGTCTTGCTTCAAGCTAGTATTTTGACACTTTTATCTACGGTACATTTTTTCTACTGGCTTGTCTTTTGCTGCTGTTATCTGTTAGCTTTTAGMTAATATTTTGCTTCTTTTAGTTAGAATGTTGGTTAGACTTCCGTTCTTTTACCTTCTAGTATTTTGATACTTTTTTCCTATTTTTTGCAACTTTTAGCTTTAGCTTGCACTTTGCTGCATTTAGCAAGTCTTCACTACTTTTAACCTCTAGCTCATTTTTTGCTTCTTTTTGTTAGCATTTTTCTATTTTGTGCTTTTAAACCTTTGTTACTTTTACATTYTGATACATTTAGTGTTATCCAGCCAAGGCTATTAGCTTCTAGCTATTGTTTTAAGTCAGAATTTTGCTATTTGTGCTTTAGGCTTTTGTTACTTTTAGCTTTTAACTAGTATTTTGCTACTTTATCGACCTTTTTGATACTTTTAGCTTTTAGCTAGTCAATTTCTATCTTTAAATTTAACTAGCATTCAACTATTTTTACTTTTTAGGTAGTATTTTGCAAAGTTTGGCTTTTAACTGTTTTGTCTTTTCTTTTTTGTGCTTTTAATAGTGTTCTTTTTAGTTTTTGTTCTGTATTATATRCATTATACTGTATAATATGTGTATTTTATTGTAGTTTAACTCAATTTCAGCTTCAGTAAAACTGAACAGTTTTACATCACATTTTTGCAGAAAGTTSCACTTGTGAAATTTACTGTTAAATATATTGCATTCTGCAACCATGTGGGTGTTTCCTGCTTTCATTATTGACTGCAGGTTTTTTTTATTACTACATAGTTGACCCACCGTGGAAGAAGAGATGCAGCAGCTTTTGGGAGAGCCTGAGCAAACAGCTCATAAGTGTAGTCAGTGCAGTCACATCACAAGTGGAGACTAGCAGAAGATCAACTGAAAGATACATGAACAGGGAATATAAACATGACCTTTAAGTTGCCTTGCCAGAGGAGCTTTCAGTATGTACCACTGAGCAAATGATGGTATTCTCCAGCCACCATTCAGTTGGAAGTATATAATTGACAAAAAAGAGGGTGAAGGGCCAACAGTCAGGAAAAAAAAAAGGAAAAAAAAACTTTTCAAAAAAATACTTTGGCCTGTTTCTGTCTTCAGCTCTGGAACAGAACATTTCAAATAGTCCTGATTCCATTCTTTATGTATGAGAATAAGTGTTAAGACTGGAGGCTGTAAAGACATCTGTGTTACATTCGGACATTTAAAGCTGCTTTGCTTCTTCCAACMCAGCATGGAGCAATGCAAACGAATGGGATCTGCAAAGTTATTTCTCCTCTATACTGTCACAATCAACAGAAAGTAAATCTCCTTTCAATTCTAAGGTGTTTTTTGTTTTAGGACAAAGTAAAAAAAACATCTTGTTCTATGTAAAAAGGTTAGAAACAATTTATACTTTATCTGTTGTTGGGGCTGTTTGAACAGTCTCAGACTGATGAACTAGCAGCTAATCCACACAGAGCCAAGCCTTTCAGCAAACAAATTTAAAATCCTTTACATTGCTTTACAGTCACAGGCTGTGATTATTTGCAAGTACAAATAGCAGTAGCAGTAGCAGTAGCGTGTGGCTGTAGCACTTTCAAAATTAATAATAATGTAAGGTGATATTAACAGCACTATAGAAATTAATTGAACAATTTTCCAAACAGGTCTTTCAGAGAGGTATCTACAGGCTGAGYCAAAAGACACAGGACACCCTTTTAGTTTGATCCAATATGGCGACTTTCAAGATGYAAAGCCTAAAGCTGTGGTTCATCTTTCTTTTCTTCTAAGCCAAACTTCATRTACAGTATAATTGTCTTTGAATTTGATCCCCAATTTTTGAGCTAACAAAGCATTATCCTCTTGTATAATGCCAACCTGATTTGATACAAACTTTAGGATTTTCCAGCCTTTGTGGTGGACCCTGTGATGGGAAACTTGTGGGCATGTTTCTCAGGCAGGAGGAGGATCAGAGCGAGCAGGTCCAGATTCAAGATGGAGTCATGAGCATGCAAATGCGCAACTAACATTCAAGTCTTCTTTTTATCTTTGCGGTTAATAAGAAAAAATAGTTTTACCTCCTCCAACTCGTGTGTGAAAGAAAAAACAAATAGTGTTGTTTTTATGCTTTGAAATGGATGGCATATGGTGGGAGGGAGGGAGARGCGACACAATACAGTATTTAAGTTATCCAAGAAATTATTGAAAATTATTGTAGTACAATAGAATAAAAACTGTCAAAATTGACATGTATAATATGGATGCTTTTGGGTATTTAAGTTATCCAAGAAAATATTGAAAATTATTGTAGTATAATAGAATAAAAACTGTCAAAATTGACATGTATAATATGGATGCTTTTGGGGATTAAATTTCTTGCATTATACATGTTTAAATATGGTAATTGTTTTTAACCTTTTTATTGAACCATATTAAAAATAACTATAGTTTTAAAATTAGGTAAATAAATAATAATTACCTGAATTCTACGAAGCCCACGAGAAGACATGGGAGAAAAAATAAATAAAAACGGATCCTGATTTTGGTTCTTAGGATCCTCTCTTTCGTTCTCAGGATCCTGACTTTGGTTCTCAGGATCCCGACTTTGGTTCTCAGGAT